TTTTTTCTTTATTTGTGAGAAGCTGGTGCCAGTTATGTCTTGACATGGTTACACAAGATTTACTGCCAAAAAACTTTATGGCTTACTTACACATAAATTCTGTCTGTGTGTAAGAACACGAACACCGACTTAAACAAAAAAAAAAAAATCACACAATCTCATCAACATAAAAAAGCTCACGTTACAATCGCACCAGTGTGGAACGTTATATATAGACCTGTCCTGTACGCTGTTATTCTGCCCACTGCAGCATATGTTTCACAGTGTTCTTATATTGAGGAAATATATTTTTGATTTATTTTAAAGAGACAGTAGATGTTTAGTTGTTTTGATTCTGTACGGGGGTCTGTTGAGGAGTTTTGTTTGGGGGAAAATTTGTCATCGGCACTTCTCTGATTGTGTCACTGGCTCCCAACCTCACAGGAATTCTAACACTTTGCTAGCTTTGTGCCACTTTCTCAGATTCACTGATCACATTGTGATCAACCATAATGTTCTCTCTCTCACTCTCTTACACAACAAATACACGACTACACAACTGCAAAACTGGCTACTATACAATGACTTTGCTGCTTTAATTACAATAGGTTGGGGGGATCTGGAGAAGTGTCAAATAAGCGATCCTAGTCTTGGTAAAAACTGTTTAAAAAATTGCAATCATTTTTGGTAAACATTCTTTCTAAGCCACTGTAAGCTGTTTGATCATGTTTGTAAGTAAAACAGCATCAAATTTGAACATTTATCCTCAACAAAACACCAAAAAAATATCAAAGTGTACAAAAATGCTGTTTTTGTGTTTCTGAAAGGAAGGCAGGGGATTATATGAGAAGTTCTGGCACATTTACCCAATCAAGAAAGTGAAGGGTGAAGAGAACGGGGAAAAAAAGTGTTGCGCTTCAACAGTAGGAAACTATGCATAGCATGTCAGTCATGTTCAACATTGAAGAAAATATTTTTTACGACAGAGTCTGTAAATTATAAATGCTGCTTGTTTAAAGTAACACAGAGTTTGACAACAGCACAGCAACAAGAAGATTCAACAGTTTTGCTTGAGAACAGAACATGCAGTTCGGTTTACACTGGATAACAGTGACAAGAGTGCACAAGGTCGAATAGGCCAAAGAGATGGAATTCTCCATAGATTTGCCTCATTTAGCAGGGTCAGAGGTTTTCATCCCAAAGACCTCTCAACACACTCAGCTGCCCTACCATTCAAAGGGTGAGTCGTAAGGATACACGCAGGTCAGGGTCATGCCTTCACCTTTGCTTGCCATTCACGAAAGAAATGAAATGAGGGCCAGTATCGCTTAATTAGAGTCAGATAACAGGGCCTTTCCTTTTTTCTGCCAGATGAGTTCGGATGCCACCACACGCAGGTTTATTAGTAAACATAATAAGCTTTGTGAATTTGCCAGTGCTACACTGAGACTGAGGTCAAAATGCATTGAGTTAAAAACAAAGATTAAATGAACAGCAACAGTAGAGAAATATTGCGACCATGAGCTTTTCTATGGCAGCTTTGAGGTGGAACAGAGCGGGATCGGCTTCTTCCGGCTGCATGCTGTCAGAGCCTCGGCCTGTAGAGACGGCCTGTTTCTGGCCTCTCTAAAGCTCTAGTTTTCAAACAGCAAGGAATGTGGAAGAAGTCTGACATTCGATATTGATAGAGCTTATGGTAAAACTTCAATAACTTTAACAAAAGAAGGAAGAAGAACCTTGAAGAAGTAATTATATGGAAATAAAGTGCTTAGGTTTCAAGGAAATTATTGAGGGCTGTGTGAGGTCATGCAACGCACCTCAGAAGTTTCAAACAAAAAGCAAGCGGCCTGACAACACATCCTGAAGTTTACTCCACAGATCAACTACCGATTGCTGTCTATATTCAGACTGGAACTGCAATACACTACACTGAAGTAAATGGAACTAAAATAAAAAATGAGAGCTATTATTAAATGTGGGGTCATAACAGAACCATGTATCTGTGAAACAGTAGCCTTATAAAAGAAACAAAAAGCAAAAGGTGTCAACAAAATGTAAACGTTTTTGTAGACCATTTCTGTTGGTCCATTCCTCATGAAATATTCACACAATTTAAAGGACAGCTGGTGTTTTTTGAATCATGTAAATTAAGACAGAAAAGACATGTAAGATTTTGAAAAGGTCCCTAAAGAAGAGAAATTAATTTTGCAAATTTTCCATGTTGATTCTAACCCAACCAGTTGGTTTCAGACTCTGAAGAAGATTTAATAAAAAACAACTTTTTGAAGAAAGCATTTCCACAGAGTGTAGCAAAGGTAATGCAAAGAACAAAGCAATGCAGCGTGGGTAGCCAGGGCAGCAAACACAACAAGGGCTAATTAGACTAATCACTGAGCCTTCAGCCCCACTGGTTCAGGGGAGGGGACGACACCATCCTAAGAGACAGAATAAGCAGACAGCTAATCGTTGCATCTTGACATGAATTTGACTGCTAATTAAACAAAAACGCTGTCATCTCCTCCAAGCACTTCATTCATCAACTTAATTAAATAAGTTAGCTCTGCACAATCCCACAGGAACTGAAAATGTTAACTAAAACATGCTACTATGTACAAAGTACAAAGTACAGTCTGACAGCTATTCAGAACAGAGCCCTAATTAGCCTCTCAAGCTAACATTTGAAAACAAGTTCTCAGTATTTTGCTAAACAGGGCCTACATCTAAGAACTGCTGAGCCAGTTATATAGAGAGTATTGGGGGCAGTTAGAATGACTTGCTGCATTTGTGATCATGTAACAAAACTTTTAAAGACAAGGGTGAGAAGCTACAAACAGAATTCAATCTCCTTTCAAAAACTCCACTTTATATTATGACTAATAATAATGATCATTATTCATTTTTATGCATTCCTGTTTGAAGGAATGACTGCTTTTAGAATAGAGAGTACTGGGAAAAGAAGTAAGCATATTAGAATATACAACTATCTTCATCCTGCCATCAGTTCCTTGTTTGAGTTTTTGCTGGTGGTTTTTTTCTAATTTTCAACATTTCAGTAGCTTTTCATGAGCTTTTTTAACTTCAATAACATGGTGTTCTAGTGTTATTGTGTAATTTATGAATGAGTGTTTAAGCATTCATCAAAAAATGTGCATAAAGTTATTTACCTATTAGCTCCATAGCTAGTATTCTGGCCATACTAGATTTAGGTACTTGTGTTCCTCTGCGTCTGACAGAGGAAAGTGATGATGTATAGAAACATTCAAACAGAGTAAAATAGTCCTAAATTATTTGAAACATTACATGTGTAATGTCATTTATCAAGTCTTAGCATAATGTGGTAATGATTGGAGAATATTGCATTGAGCATTAGCGGTACATTTCAGTCTCCAAAAACAATTTTGTTGGCTTGTTCTATGCATCGTGGAACCATATCTCAATTTGAAAGAATGAATTTCTTCAAAAAGAATCTACTATAAAAGTTAAAAATATAATAATTTTGAGAGGAAATATGGACCAATTATTTCCAACAAAATAGCTGGTTAAATTTGCCCTGCTATTGCGGATGTGTACACAGTATTTATGAAAAAACCATAACCATCTGTTTCTCACACACTCTCACATGCACAAAATATACACTGATGTAAAACTCCCCCATAAAGACAATTCTAGTTAAGAGCAGCATAAAAACATGTACCACAAGGTTCATCAAACATATTGACATGACTCATTCAATCTTTCTTCTTTTTTTCTTATTTTTCTTAACACCCATTTGGATACAATATCTGTTGTAAAGCGATTTTGGCCTTTCACAATTACAGTAACAATGTTGAACTTTTTTTTTTCTTTACTCACGTAAACTAAGCCTGAGGCTGTTTGCAACACACACACCCACACACAAGAAATTCAAAAATGGAAGAAATTTAAAAACGCTTAAGTACTGGATGCAGTTGCGGTTAATTACAGATGTGTCCTCCGTATTTTCACAGATACGCACCTCTTTAGCGCAACTCTCACTGCAAAGCAGAGGCAGCGGGACTTTTCCTGTCATCTTAACATGGTGGAAAGCACCAGCACAGCTCGAAGACGTAGGCGAGGGATCCGAAATTAGAGGTCAATGCTCTCTCCATCTGTTTCTGTCCATTAGAAGTCCTAGAGCACCTCTTCCCTCCATAACCTGTTCCTAAGCTGAGCAGTAGAGCAGATCGTACCCACCAGGGTGAGTGAAGGAGGACAGGTTCCAGTTAGTGGTCCAGTCTGTAAGCTGAGCAACAGTGGTTCTCAACTCCAGTCTTGGGGGCTCAGTGCCCTGCACAGTTTCGGCGAGTCCCTGCCACAAACCCACTTGATCCAACTCATGGGGTAATTATCAAGCCTTCAAGAGTTGTTAGAAGATGTTTTCTCTTTAGTCTTGTCCCCCAGTTTTGAATCTAGCCAAGGTAGGCCTCTTAAAATAAAGGTTCCCAAATGGCTCTTGGCTTGGATATATGGTTCTCTGAAAATCCTTTAATTTGAATAGAACCTTCCATCTAAAGTTCTTTTAACTTTAATAAGGTTCTTTATATTTACAAAAATGCTTCTGCAAACTTCTTTAAGGAACCAAAAGTGGTTCTTCCAAGATGTTGCACCAAAAGAGCAAATGAACCCTTTCTGGCACTGTTAATTCTTAAGAGTGTTTGTACCAGTCAGAGAAAAACAAAATAGGACATACTGTTAGAAACGCATGGCCTCCCTAAGCAAGAATCTGTAGCTCTCATTTAAGAGTAACCATGAAGACCAAATAAATTTGGCCACTTTTCAACAAGTACACTCTTAAAAATAAAGGATCCTTAATGGTTCTGGACTTAGCCATGCCAATCTAATCTTTGGTACAGAACCTTTACATTATGTGGAGTGAAAGGTTCTTCACATTTCCACATCTATTTTTCAAAAATGGTTCCTTAAAGAAGCAACGTTCTTTAGAGAAGCAAACATTATTGCTCCAAACAACCCTTTTTTGGCACCTTTATTTTTCAAAGGTGTAGGTGTGATGATTTGGGAGACAGTAAAACAGTGCAGGGCAGTGGGTCCTCGGTGCTGGAGTTGAGAACTCCTGCTTTAGGAAACAGTTTTTTTCCCCCCCAGGTCCCCGTCTTTCCTCTCTATCCTCGTGTAGGGCTCAAACGCGGACGAGCCACAGCCATAGCCGGAGGTCAGTTCATGATGAGCTCCGCTCAGTAGGGGCACGGAGAACAGAGAGGGCGGAGGGACCCCCAGACGGGGCGAAGGAGGTGTTCCCCCGAGAGAAGATAGAGAGAGGCCAAAAGCCCCGCCCCCGCCTGCGCCCGTCACGGCTCCTGGAGGAGTGCTGGCGCTGCTGAGGCCAGGCGAAGAGGAGGCCACTGAGGGGCTGCCTAGCAGAGAACCGTTCCCGGGGTGAGGGGGGGCCAGAAGGGGGTTGGGTGGAGGCGCCGGGACAGACAGTAGGCGGCCCTGCTCCAGCAGCCGCAGAATATTACAGGTGGCCAAAGATTCAGAGGCAGAAGACGAGCGCTTATCCGAGTCCTTTGTCTGATCCTTCTTCTGCTTGGTGCGACGGTTCTGGAACCACACTTTCACCTGTGGAAATGAGGAAGGAGTGATTACACTGACTGAAAGAAAAAAAGAAAATGAAAAATGGACAATGCCTCCAGAGTATTCGATGTAATAGGTGCTTTCAAACAAAAATAAAGCATATATACATTACAGGCCAAACTTCTGGAAGCAACAGCTATTTTTCTTTTTTGATAAATTTTGTAAAACAAAACAGGAAAAAAATGAACAGAAAACAGACAATAATATTTATTAAAATAGAAAAAATGGTGTGACTACACATCTGCAGCAATAGTACAAGCAACTGTCTCTTAATTTGTTTTGCTTCAGGTGATTCGCCTGCAGTGTTTCATTGCAGTTCTAATCAGATCCACCTAATCACATTTAGATGCTCCTGAGGCTTGAGGAGCTGAATCAGGTGTGTAAAATTAGGAGTCTGTAAATTTAAAACTGTCAGTGTAAAGCACTGTTATCAACAGAGATGCTACAGTAAGAGCAACAAAACAGTAGACTATTTTGTGTTGGTTGCCAGTAAATGAATATTTCTGCAACTACTGCTCGCTTCCACACATTGCACCTGAAAAGTACATCTATACTGATTTGTCAGTCAGAAACCACCAGTGGGAAAAATATGCAGGAAGGTGCAGTTCAGGGCCAGGTTTAATTTGAATGCCACTTGGCTGTTCTTAGAGCAGTAAAATACTCTACATTTTTTAAATACTTGCATTATTTGATTGTCATTATTACTTGAGTGATTATTTAACTGCTGTATGTGCCCCAGTGAGGTCATCTTTAAATTATTCATGTATATTGTATTACTCCTGACTCTTAATGTAAAGATTGAACCGTTTTTGGTGAGAGATTCCCACATACTCCATTTCACAGAACATGCTGTAACCTCAGTGTTTGTCCCTGACAGCGTGGGGCACACTGGTCATAAAAGGCACTGAACTCTGCTGAACTCTGCCTGTTCTGCATTTTTAATTAATGCTGTGTGATGGTAACGTATAAAGTGTTTCTGAGGCTGCTGGGATCATCCATGCTCAAAAATGGAGAAAAATCAGAACCATGAAAAATGCATCCCACCCTGACCGAGTTTCTACTGACTGCCTCCTGCTACATTTAACCCTGGGGGGCCATAGAGCTGCAGTTACATACACACTCACACTGTATGTGGACACATGAACTAAAGGCACAGATACACTCAGTCCTGTTAGGTCCATACACCCGTTTTCAAGTGCATACCAACACATATCTTTTTTCACCTTACGCATTTCCAATCTGCCTTAAATCTGCATCACTGTTAAGGTGTTTTTGTCACTAAAAACAACATATACCATTAGAATAAATACAAATAAACATTAATACAATAAAAAGTATGCTTTTTTGCTTTTAAAAACAGTCCTTGATATGTTGGTTAGAAGGACACAGTTTGAAGAACACAAGTTTGGTTTGTGACTTTTTGCTGTACTCCAGCCGTTGCATGAATTTGTTCAAATCCATCAACAGCACTTGATTTAATTTAATGAAGGACTGATTAGCTGAAGCAGGTAACGGATGGTAACTGTAAATACTGCGCTTCCTCAAGGAGAGATGTGAAAATGGTTCATCTAACATAAAATCAAAATGTATTCATAATTTAATTTTAATTAATAATTTCTTATAGAATGAATATGAATAGACACTGCATGTAAGTACATGTAGGTAATTTTCTTAGCTTAATCAGCTTAATCCAAAAACAAATGACTTTTCAGTTTTTAAAAGTCCACACTATTGCAATCAAAATAAATAAAATTGTCCTTTTTTAGTTAAATTAGTTGAACAACTATGCTAACACTATCTTAAATGGACTGTGTTAAAGTTTCAAAACATACTATTCACTCACTAACACAGGCCATATGGAAACTAATCTGAAAATACAATCTGTGATGTCATAACCGTAAACACATTTACATAAAGTTACTCACTCAGCCTGCAGTGTTCTAGCCTGCTCATTCACATTTATGTGGTACTTCACATTTCATTCAGCTCATGCTGTTTTGAATGGGGCACATACATGGCAGCCAATCAAACCAAATGTTATTTACATGTAACAGTGAAAAAAACAGGCTGTTAAATTTAAATGGATGAAGAATGATTGGAAAATGATCATGTAAAAATACATTTTGGTGCATAAAACCACACAAACATTATAAGTGGACCCGATGGGACAATGAAAAAGTATGAGAAAAACATCTGCATATTGAGTTTAACACATAGGAAAAAATGCGTTATGTTTTCCTTTTTTTATTAAAATGTGTTAAATTATTTAAACTTAGAAAATCAATAATACATTTTGGACTGGGGCACCCAAATTTATGTGACTGTCTGTTAAAATGTAAACAAAAATGTACAAAACTAACTTATCTAAAGGCACAGATAGACTATCTCTTTAGTGTGTTTGGTCCATATAGCCTGTTAGCAAGCACTCACACACACATTCACATACACACACTGACATACATGATCATGTTAAGATTTAAGTACT